GAGAAAGCAGGAAGGTGAAATTATTTCCACCAAACCAACCCACAGAAAGCTGCTGTGATAGAAAATATAGACAATTCAAAATACTCTTCCTGCTGCCAAATGTAGCAAGTTTGCTGCAACCAATGGACCAAACAGTTAATAGAACAATGAAGTGACATTACGAAAGTAACGGTTGACGAATTATTGGGATAAAAGATGAAAATGAAGAAGGCATTATGGCTCATCACCAAAAATTGAATAAGACTAATTTTACATGGTGGTGAAAGCATGGAATTCAGTGAAGTCAACTACATTATAAAGAACTTCAAACACATTGAGAGGCATTTCATCAAAGGAGCAGGTACCAAAAGAAAAGGAATTAAAAAAAAATAAAAAAAGAGTGAAAAGGTAAAAGAAGAAAGTGAAGTGGAAGAGGACAAAATGTTGTATTTATTTACGTATTTATTTATTTATAATCTGACAGGCTGTTGTCCAATATACAAATACAGAATAATACAGAAATTAAGAAAAATATGACTCATGAATATCCTGCTTACAATACAAATATTATAATCACTCATAATGTAAAATACGAATATGCAATTCAATTAAAACATGTTTTGCCAAACTCCAAATGTGCCTACTTTACTAATTTACCATCCTAGCCCTTCTAGTGATAGGGTTATTTGCAATATAGGTATTTGTAGAAGTCACCATGGCAAAAATTTCTTAATTTTTGGAGAAACAGTGGGCAATCAATTCCATCGTTTATTATCTTAAACATAACACAAACAAAATGTTACGGAGTTACAAAGAGGTGAAATAGAAGTGGTAGTTGAAATAGAAGTGGTTAGGGTGGAAGATATGAGATGATAATCATGATCAATGTAAGTAAGGATCATATAATGCCTAAATGTGTTGCAGCATTTTTGAAGAACTTGTGCTGGACAGATTCAATTTTAGCAAAATTAATGTAAAAACACTGAGACCAGACTGCAGATGCAAAAATTAAAATAGGTTTAACAAGCATTGTATATAACCTTTTTAAAATGTTTACCATGTTGAGTTCAGCACATGTTCTTCAAACGAAACTATGGATTTGGTTGGCTTTATTAGTCGTGTAGTCAATATAGTAAATGAATGACATTTTAAGCGTCAATGTATACACTCAGATCCAGAATCACAGACACACATCTGAGAGGTAATGCAATTACGGTGTATTGAAAGTAGGCTACTGATCATGAACGAGAGAATGTAATAGATTTGCATTTGACAACATTTAATTCATGATCATTCTTTTTACACCTGTTAGCACATGTGTTTAGCAGTGATTGTGAGGAATGTTGGTCATTTATGCACTTGATTGACTGAAAGAGTTTAAAATCGTCTGCAAATACAAGCAACACCATCTGTGACCGTGAATAGATGTCATTTATCAATAGAATGAAGAGTAGCAATTCCAGATGAGAGCCCTGACGGGCTGCTTGTTGCTTGAGAACATGAGAAAGATTGATTTGAAAATTATTGTATGTTCTGAGTGCAGTGCAAAGGACATAGGCAAGTGGCTTGCTTGTTATTCTCAAAACCTTTAATTCCAAAATCTCATCATATGAATCATTAGATCTTATCATATCTTCTTCAAATCTCATCATATGAATCATTCAAAGTGTGAGAGAAGAAACCGATGGCCAGGAAGATGACAGTGCTACTGATGCCAGATATGGATCTGTCACGTGAATCATTTGCATGTCTTGTTTGTGCACAAAGACCTGATTTGTACGCTTCCTTTTGATGAACAATTTGGTGAACATACATAAGTGCAGGAGGGGGTGACATAGTTGCTGTGTGCATCCACACATTTACTAAAACTCCCCAAATCATTCAATCAAATATTAAAAAATATTCGACAACAGATATTCAATCTTGCAAAGAAGTAGAGAAGAAACTTGTGAAAAGATGTGGCAAGATTGACTCCTCACAAGAAACGACTGCAAAACGAGTAAAGGAAATATCAACAGAACTCTGAAATACAATCAAGCAAACCACAAAACACCCTGGGAGCATTAGAGAGATTAAGGAGCATGATATTCTTTATGGCATGCAGGAATCATCAACTGATGAACATGATACACAAAACTCCCATGACCTGATCGTTGTAAAAGAAATCTTGAGAAAAGTGTGTATTTAAGCCAATATTGAACATTCTATCAGATTGGGAAAACAGAATTTGAATGATGGCAAATCCAGATCGAAATCCATCAAAATAATTTATAGAGACTCCATATTTGTTAAAAATATTCTGAAAAACCAGATGAAATTTCCTTGTAGAGTTATAGCTAGAAACAATGCAGAGAAGTGAATTGAAAGATCTTAGTGAAGAATTTAAAAACTGACTAGTATCAAACCCAAACCTTGTCCTTAATTACAGGGAGGAGTTCCTCAGATGTAGTTGTGAAGGGAAATGACAAAAGATAGTAACAAGCTATTTGGAAGATACATAAAAATCGCTCTTCGTCACTAGTTTGTCCTATTTACTGATGGAAGTCAACACCGTGCCACCAGATGTTACAGTAATTGCTGAATCATGGCTTAACTCAGAACTCCCTGACTCACTAAACCATGTACCTGGTTTTCATATTATATACACTAAACAAAAGATAGGAAGTACAATTGGAAAGTGAAAACATGTGGAAAATCCTGGACCCTGATGTGGAAGTACTCTGGTTGAACACAAAGTATGTAATATTAGCAATGTACGCACAATCAATTCCCAACAGCTTGCCTGGCAATCTAATTTCAAACTCTTCAAGAAAATTATAATGGTATGCAATCTGCAAATACCAGTTATTATTTTTGTATATTCCAATTTTTCCAAAATCATTAAATGTGGAGGTGTTCCTCACATGGTAAATCAAAAGATAATATATTAAATGCTATGTGAACTCAAATTATACTCAGAATATTGATTCTTCAAGATGCAGTGTAAATGAAATTCTTACGATTCTAGATTTAGTGCTAACTATTGATGAAGAGTGTTTACTTGGCTATCCGAGAGATGCCATGTCCAGGGCACAGGTGCCAATGTTTCAGTCACCATTCTGCGACCTTCATCAGGGCGTAGTATTGATATTGATGTAAACATCATTACACCCCTGATCTGATTCCTCACAAGATTGAGGCCGGACATTGATCAAAATGGTTATGTGGTAATTATTGCATCATTGCAAGTAGAATTGTTTATAAATAATAGTGTTTCTTATAATTCCATCATCGAACAGAATTTCTTTTGAGCTGACTATGCAACAGTAATGAGTCATTTGGCTCAACATTATACATTACCCGACCTACATAATTACGAAGGCAATGAAAGTAATGATGTTGAACTTATCTAGTTAGGAGCAGTTCTGTTATATATCTAAATATATTTTTATTTATTGTTATTTATTTGATTGATAAGTATAGTCCTAAATTATTCATACTCCTCTAAATATCTCCATTGGTATTCTGCTGAGCTAAAGAAATCACTCTTCCACAAAAACGTAAAGCCCATGAAACCTTTAAAGTGCCATGGAAGTATGATATTTTTCCAAGTTGATGATGTGTAAATCAAAATCCAGAATAGATTATATTGAGCTTATAAATGTAACAGTGGCTTTATTGATAGTTATTGATACTAATACCATCATAATTATTATAAACATATTCTAATGATCAATTATTGTGTCTTTGATCCATCATATTTGAAATGTAATTATTATACTTGTAATGTTCTTTCTATGGAGGGTTATTGCCTGTTTTATGAAATGCATAAATATTTTAAATACTCACTCACGAGATAACATTAAGAGAAACAAATAAATAAACCTTGGATTCATTGTGAAGTCATAAAACAAAGTGGGTTTAAAAGCCTAACATGGGCAAATTATGGAAGGACTGAAACAGATGAAAGGCGATTTTGTAGACTTCTGCAGCCAGGGTCATGGTCCGGGTGAAGCCGTGCCGAAGGCTGGGGTGGCAACTGTCCGATCCTGGGGTGGCTGCTGTCCGATCCTTCAGTATTCCTTGTCGTCCAACTCCGGACCGCTCCCGCCCATTTATTCCCCCACCTCCTTTCCCCTTTCACTCGGTCGTGGACCAGGCGGTCGGCACAGACCTGATGGACAGGAGAGCAGAGACCAGACAGACAATACGGACCGGACCCGACCGTCCGTCAGTATTTATACAAAAATGTACCTTTTTTTGTACATTTCTTTATTTATGATTTATTCAATTATTTAGATATTTGATTATCTGGATTGCGTCTGGTCTCAATTAATCTGGATAATTGGAGTTCTACTTTACTTTTACAACATTATACTCTGGTTAATATTAGCTTAACATTAAACTGTATTTAAAAATAATTTTAATATAATATATTTATAAGATTTATGGCTTATCTGATTAAGTGAATGAAAGAAACGGCATTGTGCAAATGGACATAATCGGTCACTATTTGTTCAATTTTATTAATTTTTTTTTTTTCTTTTTCAATTGCTTCCAGAGAAAAATTGTAAACATAGTGTCTTGTTAAACATTTCTCTTTCTTTTTTTTTTTTTTTTTCCAGATTCGGCTTAACCAAGGTGTCTCAGCGGACAATCAGGTCACTCCTCCACCTCCAGACCTTGTGCCTCCCATTGGAATTATAGCTCCTTGGTGTTTCAAGGTCAGCTGTCATAATCTTGTTCATAAGAATACCTTTGTATTAAATACTTAATTATTATTGGTTTGTTAACTTCTTATCTCAGGCTTTGATGTTACCCGAGTCATACCATCAAGGAAAATTACGAGCTCTTCGACTTTTATGCCATATAACTGTGGTGCCACAAGATTTACCTCCACCAAGAGATCACATAGCAGAATTTTATAGGATACTTCATAATGGATTAGTTGGAACTGATCAGGTAAAATGGCATTTAAAATAGAAAACATGTGTTTTACTTTGCAAAAAACAATTTATTACCCTTTCATTTTGTGACATTTTAAAAAATTGTGTATTTGTTGACATTAATCTGATGAGTTAAATGAGTCCACACTTTCAATACCGGAATGCATATTAGTAACTTCAAATTTGAATAAAAATGTACAGGCTGTGGTAAATACACTGGTACGATACTGTGGTCCACGCTTCTTCTCCCTGATGCTGCCGGGCCATTCACTGCTAATGCTAGATTTTATTCATGCTGCCAACACCGTTGTATGTTCATCTGATCTTTCAGGATTGGTAAGTGATGCTATAGCTTGTTCAGTAATTCAGTTTTCCTTATTTATCTCTCTTTAATCATGGTTTAAATACAGGTATTGTTACCAAATTAATTACATGGCTAACTCCTAAGCCTAAATAGTATATAAAATGATTTTCATGTCCATATTAATAAAAATTGCTTGTAAAAAAAGAAACTGAAAAACCTGTCACCTGTAGTTGACACTGGAAATTGATGGATTAAGTGACACCATTCTTTGTGGATATTGTGCTGTATTATTAAATCCATTTTTAAACTTGTGCATTACAGAAACCGTTGAGTAGTCAAACTGGAACTGTCAGGGAAAACTCCTTCTTCTACAATTGGAGATATGAAAAATAATTAAGTTAGGCTGAACCTTGAGAACTCTAGTGTCATCTGCAATTAACTATTATTTGTAATTAATTCCGTCATTGAAATTAATTCTGATACCGTTGAGTGCAGTTATGTATTATTTGGTTTTATACAAGATAGTTTTTTTTCTTACATTATGCTAAATTAGAACCAGACATAAAGCCATTCATGGTTCCAACACTGCCATTATAGAAATCCAACAGTTTCGTTACTATTCTCCAATTGAATTTTAGTGAAATGACTTCCTAAGGTCGGAAGCTGTCACAGCCCCTAGAATTTCAAAACGACATTTTAATTTTTACTTAAATGAAGCCCTGCATTTTCAAAATTTTCAAAAAAACGGCTCTAAATTTTTTTATTAAATTTTGTTGTTCAACAATGTGAAGAGAATGCTCCTCTATTCGCTCTCATATTCAGTAATATCCTTGATTTTTCAAAAACTTAAAAAATAATTTTTAAAAGTACAAACTAATGATAAAGATTTTGGTTCAGATAAAGACTGTTGCAAAAAATTACCTCTTTAGGGAAAAGGTCATGTACATTTTCTGCAGAAATGAGTAGTTTTTGCGTAATTTTGATTTAAAATTTACAAAAAAAATTTGTCAAGAATTGCTTCAAATTTTTACTGTAAATTTTCTCCACATATGTAATAAAAATATGGTGCTAGTCTCATTTTCAAGCTTCATTGCTTTTTTTAAAATTGAAAACACAATCTAAACTGCAAACTTGTTGACAGCCATTTTTGCGTTAGACAAAGTTTGTTGTGTAAAATTAGTTATTTAAATAAATAAATAAATAAATAAATAAATAGTGTTGCTAGAGAATGGCATGGACATTTTTGCCCTAGTTCATTTTCTATTCTATCTTTTCTTGACAAGTTTTTCTGATAGGAGTCATTGTCCTCTCGCCTATTTTTTTGTTGCCCGAAAAACAAACATTTTTACAATTACTTGGCTCCGTAATGCTAGGACTGAAATCACCAAACACTGATTACTATTATAGAAGTGTTCATTGCACATCGTAACTGGTTAGCCCCTTTTTTACAAATAAAGTAACTTACACCAATCCCATTTTCATTGAATTCTGTCTATTTTTCCAAATTGCCAAGGTTAACGTTTTTTTTGTGACTACAACAATATTGATGATGGATATTATTTTTTCTTGATGAAAACTATTATTCAGAATTCGGCCTTTAAATCGGGTCATGCCCAGTGTTTTGAAAACATGAATATTTTTCACAAAATTTGATGTGAAGTAGACAATTATAAAGAAATAAGTAAAGAAGATTTTTTTCAAAAACTGACTCCAAAGTTTATGTATGCATATAATGGGTAATGGGTAATGTATGCATATAAAAATTAGATAGATCCCATTTTTGTTGGACACTGATTTTGGAAAATTAATAAAGTTACAATTTTTTTTACTGTCTTCCTACAACAAAATCATTGAATGTGGATTTTTTTTTCTTAAAGAAATCTGTTCTTCAAAGTTAAATATTGCAATAATGTAATGTAAAATTTTTCAAAAATTTTGTGGTTTTCGTGTAATTTTGAGTGATTATTACAAATAACGCAAAGAAAATGGTGCTTTTTGATGCACGACGAGTTTAATTTTAGAATTAAGTAAAATTATTATTTTCTCTTTTTCAAAAGAGTTTTGTTAGCTTATCGCTAGTGAAACACACCAAAACTACTTGTGTCTTCCTCATAGAGCCCACACTAACGACACAACTGAGAACAGTTGTGAATGAGCAGCACCAATAGTTAGGAACCTTGAGTCTTCTGTAAAAATTTTACTGGCGTATAAGGATTGCACTTGCCCTCCAAGACTGCAAGAGCAGGCCACTGAGAACGATCGATAAAAGAATGTGTCCTGCATTGTCTTCCCGCACTTTACACTTGATATGAAGAGTGCTTCCCATCTTTTACATCTTTATTTAAAATTAATTTTATTTTATTTTTTTACTTTCTCGTATACGTTTACCTAGTGCTGAGAAAGTTATGTAATGCTGTGGCAAAAACGACTATTTTTTGATAGAAAAACTCATACTGATACAGAAAGAGTGGATAAATCCTGTTCCAATATTTTGTAAATTTCTACATATGTATGTAATGAACTCGCAAAAGTCTCGCGTTCATTCAGATCTATCGAAGAATATCAATTTTGGAGAAAATCGGCAGGCAGTTTAGACGCTCGTGATGACCACAGACGGAAAACAGACGTTTTCAGCTGGGAAAAAAAAAGCTGTCAATTGATTGTGCAGTTTCAAGAACCCATAAAATAGGGATTCAGGCTACACCATGTGTTAGAGAGTAATTTACTATATATAAGAATATGATTTATCCACTTTTTCCTTACCTGGGCACGTCAATAAGAGATTTTCTGACGAAAATCGCAGATTCTGGCACATGGTTTTACTTTCTCTTCTTACGAAGGGTGAGAAAGTAAAAACAGAGTAATCATTGCAGTAAATAATGAAAGTACTCGCCTAGCCTATCATTTTTCAACTTTCCTGTATTTTACACTTTTTTCATTGATCCCCTGAAAAGTGTAAAAGAGGGGTTGTACTGTATTTTTATCTTCTTTAATAAGGGAGAAGGGACATGAACATGTAAGTGAACACAGAAACAAAAAAAAAATACTAATAATAAATTTTATTGTTTACTGTGCAGGCTCCTCGGACTGAAGCTACCTCAATTTTGGGAGCGTTGGTATGCCTACCACAACCACTGACCAGTGTGCCTGTTCTGCAACCTTCAGCAGGAGAATTTAATACAATTCCGTGCCCTGATGCTAAGGTACTGTTTGTTATTAGTTCTTTTTCTCATTAGAACGACTTGTCTATTTGAGAACCAAATTGTGCACAATCTTGTCTTACAGGAGTAGTGCACCATTTGCAACAATAAAACTTTAAATGCTCACTAGTACATTTGACAATTGAGCACAATATAATATAAATAATATTCAAAGGAGATTTTTTTTTGCCCAGTGCAATTTGATTACTCCTAATATTCTTTATTGCTTACTTGTTTAATACCTTTTCAGAAAAAATGATTTTCTTTCATTACTTTGATTTTTAAATGTTATTAAATAGTTGAATATAACTTTTATCATTATCCATGTTATGTGTCTTTACAGGTCAGTTCATTTAAGTGGTCGCTTGACTATCAAATCATACTGTGTATTTAAAATCCCTTGCGTATTGGTTCTCAAAACCTTTTTTAATTATTTAAAAGTGTATGTAGTTCTCTACAGGCAGCCATTTTTGATTAAGATGATTGCTATTTATCACTTTAAGATGCTCAGCACTTTTAGAGTTTTTTAAATTATTATTTTGGGGTTGTTCTAGCATTTTAAACTAAAATGCATTGGATAGTAATAGACAAGGGTAATAACAGAGCCATTGGGTCAAATTTGTAATTAAAATGCATCCAATTCAGTATACTCTGTCCAACAAATCATAATATTATTTACCTACATAATATTTTTATTTTGATAATATTTGCATCCAAAACTATTGAATGGGAATGAAGTTATTTTCAGAGAAGAAATAGTCATCTTTAAGTGTTTTTTTAATGAATTTGCTACATAACACTTGTTACTTTATGTGAAATATTAATGATAGATTACCCCCCTCAAATTTGTTAATTTGAGAGTTTACCGTAATTAGATATATAAAGTTCATTCTAATTTTTAATTTGGATGCATCTTGTTCTAGGAGTACGTGCTTAGTGTTCTTTTACGATGTGGCAAGCGAGAACCAGCTGCCCTTGCACGATGCATTGCATTATCTAGCCTTGGCATGTACGTGTATCAACAGTTATTATCTCCTGGACCCCAATCTCGAGTGCGAGAAGCAGTCAATGTGCTATTATTGGCTCTAAGGGTAAAATAATTTTGCTTATTTTGGAATTGGTTGTGATATTTTTGTGCAGTTTCTAATTTTAATTTCTGTATATAATGCGTTTTTAATGAAGGAGGTCTCTGGTCATAGTATTCTTTGAGTAGTATATGCAAACTACCCTATTCATTAGCCTTTTGGTTATGTTTTTTTGGCCTTTCATATGTGTATTTTGCAGATCCAGACTTTTTGTCTTGAATTCAAGAGAATTCTTGAGAAGGAATATGGAAAATATTAAAATTAAATATTAAGTTCAAGATTTTGCTACTTCCCTTTTTCATTGGGCTTGATATTGTATTTTTTCTCTCTCTCTTTCTCTCCCTTTTCCTCTCCTCCCCCCTCTCTCTCCCTCTGTCTCTCTCTATCTCTATCTATCTATCTATCTCTCTGATGTGCTTGATAAAAATATAGGTCATTCAAATTAAAACCTTCAAAGTGCAATAAGTTTTGTACTTTAACAATGAGGAATCATCATTGTTATTGACATTTTTTTTGACATAGTATCAGACATTCAATAGAAGTGTTCCAATGCGTGGAAGTGTATAGATACCATTATGAAAGTAATTGTTTGATCATGTCTGAAGCCAGTCTTGCACCGCGCACCCAGTTTTCACCTCTTCGTTGCTTCTAAAATGCTTGTCTCTCATTGTTTCTTTTAATGCACTGAACATGAGTCACTAGGAGTGAGGTCTAGTTAATGAGGTGGATGAATAAATCATTCAAATTTGATATCCTGGACAGTCTGAGCTGTCAAACAGGCTGCATGCGTCTTGTGTTGTCATGCTGTAACAATACTCAAGAAGTTAAAGAGTTGTCATTTTCTCCTGATTGCAGGTCAGAGGTGGTTTGTCAGCATTTCTGAATAAGAATGAGTAATTACTGTCGCTCTCTTTTTCATATCATGTTCCAAAATTACTTTTTACAAAATTACAGAAAATCGAGTTCCTCACCGGACGAAAGTATCCGCCCACTGTTTCCCTCGCTTTTGTGCTTCATGACCAATGGCAACTTTCAATTCCTTATCTTTAAATTGTAAATTTGTTATTGATGAGCTGCAGTTTCTCTTGCTTCACGTCAGACAGTGACGTCGCCACCGCGCCACATTCCAATTCGCAGGCGTAGACCACAAATTTTGGGTTTCAATGGTTGGGGCTTATATCCGATCTCGTCTCTATATGTAGGTACAATTTTCCATCATGTCATATCGACACATTTAATTAACATGAATATGATAATGGAGATGAATACGAACATGCAAGGGAAAGATGATGTACTACCACAAAATAATTGCAATTAATGTTCTAGCTCTTGCAGCTTACTAAACTGAGCTAGGTAATACAATAATAACAGACAATTATCTTCGCAACGAATAATGTTACTTACAGATACTTGTTAGCCATCTACCTTTGTTGAAAGTTTTACCTGCATATTTCAGAGGGGAAAACGAGCTGGCGGTGACCCGATTGAAGCCCCCAACAAAGCTCTTGCTGCAAGCAAGTGAAGCAAGTGAATGACACATTTTTCCTGATTACTATCGTGTTCCTCATCATTTTCTCTACAGAAAAGTTTTTGTGGCTGGAACGGAATTCTATTGGTGCCATTGGTGCGATATCGATAACAAAACTTTGATGTTACCAATTGTCGGTGTTCAAAATTAAAACATAGATGTTAATAAAGTATCAATCAAAAACATCTTATGTTTTTGATCTTTAATCAAATCGATCTTTTGATCTAAAACATTGATGCGAGATTTTAAAAGTGGTTTAATATGCTGTGAAATAAAATTCGTGGGCAACATCATTTAATTTTTCAGTGACCGTGTATTAATTTATAATGAAGATTAAACCGAAAACAAAAAACTTAAAATAATAAAAGCAAATAATACTCGGTCTGAGTGCCCACAGTGATATCAAAAGGTCAGATCTTCCCGAGTTCGCCTTACACCCATGACTAAGCTTCCTCTCCATGTGCAAAATACCAATGCATCAGGGTCCTTTTGAGTAAGAGATAGTCTGCTCGATAAAGATAGTGCTATTGGCTTACTCTGTCGAGCAGAACGTGAACTACTGTGCTGCTTCCACTGTGTCACTGTCTAACCCATTGGAGATGCATACAAACCAATGGGCAGAAGCGATGCCACTTCGTAGGTGGCTCAGAGGTTCAGGAGGAGACCGACAGATTGCATTACGTGCGCTTTAAGAGAGTATTGTTAAAACATCGAATGTCTAAGCGCTCATTCAAATGAATTACTATAAAGAAAACATTTTTGAAGAAACAGCATTTTGTGGTGAAAAGTTTACTTTTCTTCCATTTCGATGGTGGTGCGATGGCGTGGTGCGATGGCGCACTTGCACTACCATACAAGCCGCCACTGCCCAGTGATAATAATGCAGGCGTTCTCGCACAATTAGTCGTCTATTGTTCTCCCGTACCGCGGAATACTTGGTGTAAATTCACGGGCTTAGTTATCCTTCCCACTGTTTTCGGGAGAGGTAATGAATTCTGAGTACCCGAAGAAGTAGTACCGAACATACGCGGGAGTGCAGAGCGACAATCCAAGTCATGGACACAAGCTCAGTAGAATGATCATTGGTGAAGTGCTGATCAGCTCGGTAGAAGTTAAAATGCAATCTCGCAGTCTTAGTGTCAGTGGATGCGCAAGTCCAAAGTTTGAATTTCCAATCGTGAAGTGATCTGTAGGCCTTGCAGGTGAAAACAAAACCTCCAACTCCTACTCTGGTCCGACTGCCTCTCCCTGATGGGACCAACTACGGGGTGCAGTGGCGGGGCTATAAAATGGCTATTCTTTCAACTTTGCTAATGTGTTATTTGCTTTTCACTTCATCATCACCATCATCAACACCAATAACTGATACTTCTCCATGAACTGTTCCTTTCAGTCAAGTTATTTCCTAGTCACTGAGGTGTTCCTGATCTTCATTTCAGACTTCCATATTCTCAACCTGTGGGTGGGTGTGTATTCAATTGTTTCATGTGTCTTACTGCTCTTAAAACTTATCCTCACATAGTTTCACTATAATTAATTTAATTATGTATTTTCTGAATAATTTCTTCCATGCTATTATGATTATTTGTTAGTTCTTAAGCCTTCTTTAATTTTTATTTTGTCACTGCATATTCGATATATTACTTATTGTCAGATAAAGTGAAACTGAAGGAATTGTTATTTCTAAAACAAGCTATACATATTGTAAATTGATAGAATTTTTCAGAAACATACTGAAAACAAACCTACTATACCTTTTTATTTTGTAATTTATCATCACATTTTTCTCAGTTTCTCATTTTGTACTCATCTTTCAAGTTTTAACATTCAAATATTTTACTGCATGATATGCAGTAAAATTTGTATTGTATCATTTTTAATATATTAGGAAGTTTGTATATGTTATTTGTAAAATATTTGTAATGGTATGCATGTATTTTCTTTGAAGTGGTGGTGATTTAATTTCTTAGTTAGGTATGGACTCCTTTACTGAATGCATGAATTTTATTTTATTCCGCAAATATTGTAAATAGCTTTCTTGCATAGTGAACCAGCTATTAGTAATTAAAGTATAAAATGCATGATTTATTTATCAGTTGGGTATTTTTAACATTAATTATTTTGTATCTTTTAATTTTATTTAATTGGCTATACTTTTTTTGAAACAGCAAAGTTTTACCAAACCAGGCTACAAATCAGCCATTAAAAAGGTATTACTGCCAGATTTTACTTTTTGTGCTGCTGTTTGTTTCGTTTCAGCTTCTGTGTTTTTTAATTTATTTTTCAAAGCATTCCATATTTGATCTGGTTTGGCTTGTTGTATTGTTTTTCCTTGCATTTTTTTAAAATATATGTCAATTGTAATGGAGTGTTGCATGAAATATTTTGCCTATTAATGTCATTTCCCGACTATTTTTAATTTCTTGTGAGGATTGATATTGTTGGGATGTAATTCTGGTTTTTAAATATAAGATCATAGCTGAATAATTGAATTCTATACTGTCAGAGCCTTGTCTATTTTCTTCTCATGACTTCTTGCTGGATCAGTTATTTTTTAAATCGATTGTAAATGGATTTGAATAAATTTAATATTTTGGAAATTGTGTGGCACTACTTTGTTGCAAAGAACTGCCTCTTTCATTTGCACATGTATATGAGAATGTGCATTATTTTATTTCAAGATTTTGTGGAAAATAATATAAAATTTCCATCAATTGAATAATTAGAATGATCAACAGCATATTTTCGACACCTGGTATTACTTAAATACTTATTATATATTTACTTTTATTCATAAGTGTTTGTGAGTTGGTGAATTACTGGTGTTCATAATCAATAATTTAAAAACTTCATGTAAAATATCTGTAATTTACGACAATCAAGTATATACATTACTTTATACTATTTTTTATTGCATCTTCATTGCTTGTAATTAAGTTGAAAACTCTTACTACAATACTTTGCGTGAAATGTAGTCTTTTTCCTAAAAAGCAATGGCTTGTATTTCCCAGCCTGTTGAATGACCTGGGAGTATAACCAAGTTCTTACAGAAATTTTGCGGAACAAATCACAGAACTCTGCCTGCCGAGATTGGTTGGTTCACGTCCTGACGAGGTGATGCAGGGAAGGCTCTCAAATGTTTTTCTCCCCCATCTTTCATCTTCTTGCTTTTCATTTTATGTCGTGTACATTCTTCTATTGACCCTTTATATTCCTCATTGACCGTCTCCGAAAGCTGCTCGCCCACCCATGTGTTTATCGTGCATGGCAACTCGCGTCGAAGGGAATGGGGGACTTGGGAGTTGAGGGATCTGCGCAGTACATGCTTTTTTGACTACCGCCTTGACGCCGGATGTTTGTTGGTAGACCTGATCTAGAGACATTTTTACGAACACCGATGAGCTCTGGTGACTAAATGGAGGTCTTTGCACCTTGTAGGTACCAATACTTTGTTTTGGCCTCGGACTAAAGACTGGTT